ATGATCACTCCTATGTTCTCAGCTAAGTCTTATGCTAACCATATTCTCTATTCTAACCTTCAGTTGATTGAGCGTATGTCCTGTCTGAAGTGAATTATATAAGGCACACAATTAATTGTGTAAGTCTACTATAACACAAACTCCTTTGTCTCACAGGCCAAGATTCATAATAGAAGCTCAGCCTCTTAACAGTGTTTCCAATGCTGATCGTCCCCTGTTGCTTTAGCTATGTTATAGTAACTATGGCAGTAGCGTTCCATCCTTGGGTCCCTGGAGGTGATTGTGTATGCATAAGAAGGCACAAAGGGGAATAGGAGTTTGAAATTTGAGTTGTCTAGATGCCTAATTGTGGTGGTTAGGCATGTAAAGGGCATAGTAAGATCACCTGCATGAAACTGAGAGAGTATAAGTGTAGTTGATTCATGTGACTGTTATATGTTACTGAGCTGTGTGGATGGAAATGTGGGCTTACGTGGTACTTAAGCATTTTTCTTTTCATTAGGTGAGCAGGAATTGCACACGAGCAGGCCTGGCTCAGTGTAGGGGTTTTTTTAATTGAAAATAGTAGTCACCACTGAAAAGAAAAATTAGTTTTCTTCACTTTGTCTGCATTAAATTTCATCCATATTGAGGGACATGGGGTTGTTTTCATTTCAAGATTTGTAGCTAACTCTGCTGTCCTCTAGGCTCTGGTGACCTTCTTTGACAATCCTCATTCAGGTCTCCCTCTCCTGCTCTCTGTCTTCCCCTGAAATCTGCTCCTCCCTCTTCCCTGGCCACCGTCCATGTGTCTGTTCCTGTGTCTGGTTCTCATTTTCCCGAGCTGACATTTGCTGGTATGAAATGAGGTAGGGAAACAGGGCCATGGAAATCACCGAATGAGGAACCCTGTGCAAGGAGCAGGGTGGGGAACAGCCCAGTCAGGGAAACTGGTGCTTACCTCTTTCCTCAGCCTGCCTGTGCACCCGGCCCAGTGATGCGGTCTGGTCCCAGGGCTCAGCTCTGGGCTTCATCCTCTGTCCCCTGGTGAGGATGTGGGATGTAGGGAGACACGGGGAATGTTAGCACTTGCCTGGAGGTTGGCGAGATCCAAGCTGGCAGCATGGGGAATGGCTGGAGAGCAAGGACAAGGCTTTGGTGTGGAGCTTGGCTGCTGAGTCCCAAACCATCCTGTTTCCATCTGTCTGTGCTGCCCCTTTTTCTTCCTGAGTCAACTGCAGGTAATGCAGGTGCAGCAGGACCTGGTGGAGCAACTCAGGCTGAACTGAGGAATAAATTTTGTCTGTACACCCTATTTCTCTGGTTTTGAGAGCCCTCCTACAATTTACAGCCCTGGCCGCTCTCATAGGAGGAAAGTAGCATGAAACTTAGTGATGTAAGACAGTATCTTTTTCTTGGAGGTGCAAGCTCAACTTCTTACATGCTTTTAGCTGTAGCATTCCCTTCTGTGCTCCTTTCACTGCCTGTGAGCCTTATGAGCTAAAACGGGGCTCAGGCTATTGTGGGGATGTGGGGGAAAGTATTGCAAAACAGGTAGGTGGAGAAACAAGGCTCAGCAAGCTGTTGCTTAATCTAGCAATATGAAAATTTTTGTGGTTTACCAGAAGCAGTACCCTGTCTGATAGGCATCTGGGACCCAAGAGTCACCAAATGAGTGAACCTCACACTATTCTAATTTTTTTTTACATCTTTGTAAGGAAGCACATTTCTGGGGCAAAATAACTGGATAAAGTGAAACTAAGACAGTAGATGTGTTTTACCGTCTAAGAGCCCACTCATCCCATCTAACCTTGTAAGAGGCTTTTGTGTTGTGTGTGAGTAACCAGCTACATGTCCCTCCCTTGCAAGAAGACGTTGCAATGAAGAGCAGTAATGTGCTTTGCTGGCATTAACAAACCTTCAGCTCCACAGACTTTGGTATTTTCCTTCCATGTGGGTTTGTGGGTGTAACCAAGAGCTGTACAGCTTCTGTTTCTGTTCTTTGGGCTTCCTGTGTGACTATACCTGTACAGCATATTTGGTAAAAAAATAGCAAAGGAAAGACAAGACGTAGAAAATATTGTAATATAAATTGGAGGCCTGCAGACCATGCCTTAGGGAGGCTGCACAGGTGCTGTCCCTCTCCCAGAGACTGGGTCCCTAACCTATTTCTTTCTTTCAGTGCACTGTCGTGATTGTGTGGTTTCACTGCATGGTTTAACCCAGTACTGGCTCCTTTCAGTCAGGCACTGAGTGTGCAAGGTGAATCATGAGACTGCTCTGCTCCCACTGGTGTCCTGCCCGTCCAGTGGGATGCTGCTCTGTAAAGTCTGGAGGCCAGCCACCAAGCCTGAACACAACTGTCACCGAGTGTGATGTATCAAATGCGACGTTAGGCTATTGAGAGATGCACTAGAAGATCAGGACAAATGTATGTGTCGACTTAAGTGACATAGTCCAGTCCTTCCATTGACTTCCCAGTTTTACAACAAGTGAACAGTGGAAACACCAACTTTTTTCTTTTCTTTCAACAGGCTGTGAAAACTGAGTGTGGCTGTACTTTATCTGAAGGGATTATCTGCACCTAAAGAGGCTGATGGTTTCAGTCAGCACCTTTGTTTCTCTGTTTCAAAATGCACAGTCTTTCAATACGTTTGCTTAAAGAAACGAATCTACTGCAGGCTCCCGTGCCTCACTTCTCTATGCTAGCGTGTTTGATGGTAAGGTGGTGAGATACTTCCTGTTTATCTACAAAAATCTCATCTTCCACTTCAAACTTGGCTCTGTGGGGACCTCACTAAGCCAAAGTTCAGCCTTGCCATACGGGTGAAACAAACCACATTAAGATTTCACTAGCTTTTGCATCTCTTGGTGGTGTAATACTTCCACGTGTGCTTGGTCTCTTCCTAGGTCCCAGTGGCCAGTTGTCATTCTGGGGCCTCTCCGAAAGGACCTGCTGGTGCTTTTAGCTTGTTGAGGTGACTGAGGAAAAGTTGTACAAGCCCAGATGAATATACAGCAGAAACTCAAACAGGTAACCTCCCTGCTCCTCACCTTCCTGAGGGTCTTTGGGCTCTTCCCTGTACGTGCTATGGTGTGGGCGGAGTATTGCAAAGCATTTTTGAGAATCATATTGTTTCACATGTATTTGTTCTCTGAAAGGATGGCCTTTTTACTCTCCCATCTGCCTGCACAGCTTGTATCCAGGTCATGGAAAGCAATTAGAGAAGTCTCATGCCTTTTGTTCAAATCCATTTAGGCTGTTCATTGAAAGGGCATCCTTCTTTTTCAGTTTAAGACCACTGAGGTAGAATCTGTTTCAGAGAAACATTTTTTTTTATTACTCTGAAAGCTACCTGTAGCCTATGAAAATAATTGTATCTTTATCAGCTGGGCAATAAATGCAATTAAAAGTCTATTTCTGGGCCCATTCATACCTAACCTGCTCCAAGTTTCCCAGTCCATCACTGAAAATAATTAGTCTCCAGCCATACAAGGATTGGCCCACTAAAACAAAAACAGCAAATAGAATTTTTATAGAAGAGAGTTTTCCACTACCTTTTTAAATAAGGTATACCAATGATTTACTGGATTGATAATTTATTTCTTAAAAACCAATAATCAATAAAATCGATATATCTAGTGGCCTGAACTAACAACTTAGTGCAGAAACAATTACTGTGGATTTTTGTCCAGACAGGCACTGCGACTGAGTTCAAAAATCAGGGGGAGGCAGAGCACAGGTGTACCATAAGCATAATAAATCATCTAGCCTACCAAAATAGCAGTGTGAATGTGTATGTGTTTGACAGCTTTGGTGTCAGCTGAAATGATACCAAGATGAAATACGAAGAGCCTTACTTTTTCCATTAACTTGAGTGCAAATCATCCGGTGTGTTACGTGCACCCTGAGACCTAGTACATCCTTCCTTTTCAACTGCGGTGCAAATTTTTTAACAAGTTAGACTCGCTGCCTGCTGCTGTAAACCTCTGTTGCGCATATTGCTAAGAGTAATTTTTAAGAGCATTATTTTGCAAAAGCAGGTGCATGGTATCCTAGATAGAGCTGAATAAGTGCTGCAGAAGAAGGGCACGAGCATTGTTTCCAAGCTTCACACGACACCTTGGTCTTTACATCCTTTTTATCTTCTTGCCCAGAAATGTGAGCATAAAGCATAATCGCTTTTTTTTTTGTGCCAGTGTTGCGAGGAAAACTTAGCATTACACAGTTATACACAGTTATTTGTGAACAAAAGATTTTGATTTTGACTGGGGTCAGCCACTGCTGATTATTTGTTTCTTCCAGTGATTCATCATAGACAAAAGTAATATGCCATAACTCAGGTACCTAATCATCCCACCAAGAGAAAACCAGACTTCACTATATTTCAGTATTTTTCTACACATCATTTGTGAGAATTCTTTGTAAAAGGAAAGCAACTCTCTCCTCCTTCTCTGTCTTCTGCAAAAAAAACCCCAAACAACACACACATCTGATTTTGGTTAATAATAGCTTTAGACAGTCATAGTGCTCAAAGAACTTCATAAGGAAATAAACTGGAATGAAAAGCTGAATTATTTGAAGAGTGTTCTTTAAAAACTCAGAGAAAAATTCTCCCCCCAAGATTCTTAGCTTTTGCTTGGGAGAAATTGACCTGACTCAGTATCATCTTCCTCACAGATTCATTTTACATTCTTCTAGCCTAGGAAAACCTTTCCCTTCTCCTCTTTGTCTGTCATCAAATTGGACCCAAATCAAAGTCCGACTAGAAGCAGAATTCCCTCCCCCAAAAAAAGGAAAAACAAGAAAGCTGGCTTTTTTTATTCCCTCACTTAAACACACGGTGAAAATACCCACTCATCGACACAGGCTGTGTTTTGAATTCTGGTGTTACAGGGAAGCATCGATACGTAGTTCTTAACAAAAGGGAAGTTTTCCTGAAAGAGGGAGGAACAATGTCATGGAGGGAAGCTCGAACTGGGACTTCATGCAAAATGGTCTGGAGAAGTTCTTGACATATTTATTTATTTACATTAATGGAGGCATATTCTGTAAACTCATGTTCTACAACTAGTTCCCTTCTCTGGCATCTTTCTGCAGAAGCAGAATAATTTAGTGTAGCGTATGTGAGGACATCTGGGCTTTCAAGTAAAGCTGGGGTGGAAGGCCTAACAGGATCATTGTGAGTTGCATTAGGTGCTGCCTTCTGAGCATTCCAGGGAGGAACATGATTGTCATAAATGGCATTGCTGTGCAAGGCCTTCAGTGGGCTAGTCATGGAGCAATAGTAAAGTGAGGAGCTTTCTTCTGAAGACTGAGCTGTCCCAGCAGCATGGGATGGAGCAGTTGCTGGACTTCTGACCTGCAGAAAAACAGAACATCTCTGTGAATATCTGGTTGCTGCCTGCACTCCTGCTAAATAAGAAACCTGTACGTTTTTGTTCAAGTTGCTTTACTCCTTTAAAACTGCTTTTGACCACAGGTCAATTGCATTCAACTGGTTACTTGATTTTATACTGATAATTGAAAGAAAGTTAGAAATCATTCTTGTATCTCTTACCCTTCTTTACTTCCCTTCCCAGACTTTCATGTCTTTTCTTGCAAGATGCCAACTTGAGGCAAAACTGATTTATCTTTTTGTGAGACCTCTTCTATATCACTTATTCAAGATTTTCCCTTCTCGGGGAAGGGAAATCTTTCTTATTTTCACCTCCAAATCATTGCCCCCATTTTCCCATTTCCTGATCACTTGATTTTTCTCCTCCTTGTCTTATTACTAACCAAATAAATCCTTCCCCCAAATCTGCAAATTCCTCTATAAATACAACTTTCTCTAATGCAGTACACTTTTGACATCCATTTTTTTTGCCACTTAGAATCACAGAATCATAGATTACCAGGTTGGAAGGGACCTCAGGGATTGTCTAGCCCAACCCTGTTCTAGCCCATACACTGCTTTTAATTCTCTCTCCTTCAGCTTGCCCTTTGAGGGCTCTGCAATCTGGCACACTTTAATCCCTGCCAATACTGTCAGCTGCCAACACTGGAGCTGTCAGCTCCAGTCACGTCTTTTTCATTCTGCGTTCTGTCCCTCTAATTTCTCTCAAACTGATTGCAAGACCTGTGTGAATTCATGGTAGCCACATATGAAAGCCCTTCTTTTCAGTAGTTTTCCTCACTCTCTGGGTTATTTTTTGTCTCACACACAGTCTGAACCAGATTAACAGAGATGCTTTAGATGCCTGAACACTTACTGGAACAGTAGAATCATAGAATGGCCTAGGCTGGAAGGGACCTTAGAGATCATTTAATCCAACCTCCCTGTCGTGGGCAGGGATGCCTCTTAACTAGACCAGGCAACACATGGGGACCGAACAGGTACTTACAAATCAAAATGTTTTAGCTTGAGTTTAGGTGCTAAAGTAATTTTGTGGCTAAGACCCTTAGTTCCTTCCCTCAGCTCAGCCGTGGTGATATCTCACACCAGGTACCAAGAGGGTTATTATGTCTGTCTCTGATCCTGTCCCATACTTTGTACTACACAAAAGATACATCCTCCGCAGATGGTCATGCAGGATGTGGTCAGGTTTTGATGATGGCAAACATGAAACATACCAGGCTCTCTTGCCTTTGCTGGGTTAATGGAGTTCTCTTTCGCTTTGCTGGGAAAAATAAAAGAAAAGTTGTTTCAATACATCAGCATTGAGAAGGTGTCTTTCTGTTTACAAGGGAAGTATTAATTATTATAGGAGGTCTTGCCTTGTTGTGCACACCTCAAGGAATACAAATCTATTTCCAAACTGGGTTTGGGAATAGCTATTCTGACAAAAGCTATTCAACACAGAATGACACATTTATAGAATGAGTTTCTGTGTTCCACAGATCTTCTCTGAATAGGAGCAGAAAAAAATCTTAGTGGCCAATTTTCTCTGTGTTCAGCAAATTGGGTAGGGAGAAAAAGACATGGAAAATTCTAAAGCCATCATATGAGAAAACACGTTAAATTTTATTGGAAAATGACATAATTTCATTTTCCTAAAGTAAAAAAAGAATAATCCGTGGGATTATTATAGGCAAATGTGACATCACTTAAGACATGGGGGACTCAAATTTATCTTCTTGATTTGAGACATAGCAGCTGTGTAAGAATTCCTGTAAAGCAGGAGAGATCAATACTGTAATTATCTGATAATTAAGAGAGAAATCTAGAAATATAAAGTGTAACTGGATAGAGCCTGACTAAAACTCTTACTTATTTCTAATTTGATTATTTGCAAAACAGGAGAAAAATTTCTAACTACTATGTGGTCTGACATTTTTATTTGTTTTTACTACCATCCCTCTGTCTCTGGAAAGGAACAATACATGGGACAAAATAAATTCTTAAAGGTTCAGTATCCTAGCTGGCACACTCATCAAGGGCATCTCAACAAGAAGTTGAGGTAATTATCAAGGGATTTGAATGCAACTTTTGTGAAGCTGTGAAAAGGAGTGGAATCAAATGCATATGAGGCAAAGGTTAGATGGTAAAACTACTTACTGTGGTACCTCCTTAGACGCCGAAATGTGCATATAATGATGAATGGACAACAAAGACCCACGGACGCTAAAGCATAAATAATGTACAATATCTTGTTATTTCCAGATTCCCGGGACTCTTCTGAGATGTTAGTAGTATCTAAAATTACATTAGCATGTATTAGCGTACAGAAATAGTTGACTGCCTTTTTCATTTTTTTCCCTCCTAATAGCTCTTTCTCATGCAACTGGCTTCTTAACGTGCTCAGACATTCTGTAACCTGGTACAGCGTGTCTTGAGATAACCTTATCTCCATTGGCATTCTATGAAGTATGAAGATACTGGAAGGAAAGGTGCACAGGAAAGTGTACGTGATGGATGGTGCAAGGCAGAAGGCCGGCAGAAGCAAAAAACCTTCAGAATTAGAGCACTGCTCCTAACTTCCAATATACTGTAATTGTGAATGATAACTGGCTGTGAGTAAAAAAACCCCATGCTTCAGGCTATGTTAAATTGACGGAGTAGGATAATTCCTAACACTTTTAAGTATAAGCTACACATCACTACCATATTAAAGACTGTGTTAGAATTGTAGAGTATACCACCAGGAGGTAGTTTGATTGGGTTTGTCCTTTTTTATGCTGAATGCTGGACACTCCCAGCCTTGAAAACCATGACCCTTGAGAGACTGTATTTTGATCAAGTGGGAAGAAAGCAACTGTAGTTTAGCAATGATTTTAAATTTGTCTTGACTGCACAAAACATTCTAATCAGAAATCCATACCAACACAGATTAGTTCCTTTCTCTGAAAGAGGAAATAAGAATCAGAACTTACTTTCTGGTGAATTTGTGATAAAGTTTGCAGACCTTTCTGAAAAAGAAAAGCAAGACAGGGAAATGAAACAGCAACCTGACATTTTGCACTGTAATTATGTTCTCTGTGTCACATACTGAAGTCTCTACAAGGCTCCACTTCAATCTGCTGATGGAAGAGGGAACATAATGCAACAAGCAAATGGCAGGGGGTTTTGGAGAAGTAGGAATGATGTGTTGGTCTCCCCCTGCCAACAGAGTAATTCTGTATTTCAAACTCCTCTGGCATTCAAATAAATAGCTCAATAAAACATATCTCAAAGGAAACATGCATGATGAGCTGGGCATCTACTGTATCTGCTAGCACATTACAGCAACAAATTTTGATGTTGCTCCCTCTGTTGCAGTATTTTATGTGGCAAAAATGCAGTTTTAAAGTTCTTTAACTTACCAGGAGAGGAACTATCCAAAGAATAACCTTACAACTCAGCTGCCTTGGGTCAGTAGAACACTATGGCCACACAGACCACTTCCCAGCTCTTGACCAACATTGAGGAGGGCAGGCATGGGTCATCATAATCTAGACTTGGCATCCCATCTACGTAAGTTCACGTGAAGGCCTCACTTCCGCTTAAAATCATTTAAAGCTACTGTAGTCTTTCCTGTTCTTGAACTTCTTGGGATAAAAAAACTACAGTTTCTTCCTGTTTGTGGCAAGAGAAGTCATTCTCAACAAGATGCTTAAATTGCTTTGTCCTCTTTACTGGTATGTGGCCTCATTGACTGCTACTACAGGACTATTTGCAACCTGTCTAGTCCATATGATGTATAACGAGGTTGTCTTCCTGCAATTTTTTTTGTTCCAAATAATGTTTTCTTAATGAAATACAGTTCACTAATGGCTGTTTGGTGTTGGCAGCTTTGCTTTTCTCTTCCAGATCCTCCTATTATTTCTTTATTTTGTTCTTTCCTTTTGTTTCTATCCTACCAAGATGCAGGATAGAAGCATGAAGAAGGTGGCAAGTACCAGCATAACTGTGTTACCAGTCAAACATGTTGGGAGAAGCAGTCTTGCAGCATGCATGCATTTTTCTATATGTGGCATCCCTTTGTTTAAATGGGCTCTTTCAAAATATAGGGGCCTCACCTTCAACAATAACCTCTATTCCATGGCTCGAACTGTGAAATTTGTCCTCTATTGCTTCACAACGATAAGATCCACTATCATTCCAATGAACTGAGAAAAACTCCAGAGTAAACACCCTGCCATTCCATTCTGCTTTGGCATCCTTCAGCTGCACGCATGTATCCACTTCCATCTTGCACCACTGCATGGTTGGCTTTTTGTCGCAGTAACGAACTGGACAGTTTATAGTCAAAGAGTTCCCAACATCAATTTTATGCTGGGAGTGTCTTCTAACTTGAATTTCAACCGAACAATTTGAGGCATTAAATCCTGGAAAAGAAGAAAACCTTTACAAAAATCATGGTGACGTAGGTCTGCAATATATTTCCCATAACAGTAATCACAGCTTCTTTTCTCTGTCATTACTCAAGAATTCCCTTGTTTACTTGCAGCAGATCTGATCTCCCTATGGGACAATGGTCACAGGAAACATCAAGACTATTGGTTCTTTCACTTTTGGAAAGATTGTTAAAATGTACTTTCTCCCTTTGATATGAATTTTCCCTTTTTGCTATATCTCAGTCAAGTTATAATTTTAATAATTTAGAAAGAAAATACGTAAAATATACATAGCAAGTTTTCCTGTGTCCTCCTTTTCACAGACCTTTTTTGTTACTTTTAGATTTATTTCTGATTGTTGTTTACTTCACAATTCTTTTTAACTTACAGAAGCGAAGGCTTTTCTTGAGTAAAATGTGGGTTTTTTTATAATTGTGATATAGAAAAGTATTTTTTTAATGCAAATATACCTTCTCTCTATTTTTTACTTTTGTTATATTTCGTTAAATTCAGTGTTCAAGGTATGATGTGTTCCCTTAACTCTGGGTCTTGGTATTGACTATCGTGACTTTTTATTAAAGATAACGTTTCTCGTGCTGCTTTATTTCTCCAGCTAAGTCAAAGCAACAAAACCCACGATACCCATGTGCTACCTACTTCTCCACCCTGTCTTATAATATGTTGCTTGTGCACTGAAGAGATCGATTGCTCATAAGTCCAGAGAAAGAAATGTTAAATATATCTGTATCTTCTGGTTGATAGGGGGTGTTGGAAAAAATGGTAGAGTATGTTGAAGGCAAGTTTCGTAGGGAGGAGAAATGTGTAGTGGAGGAGGGAGTAGAGGTATCTGTCTCTTGGCAGCCAGTGGTATTCCAAGGGACAAAGCACCTGGGCAGCTAGTGCACACACGTGTGACACCGAACACCTCACCTCTGCCATCAGCCAGGACTTCTTAGGGACATCATGCATCAATCCTTGTGAATACCTGAATAGTACATTTGAGAGCTCAGATTAACAGCTTTCATTTATGACCTCTTATTTGCAAGCCTTTTCTCTAAATTTCAGACTACTTCACACCATAAATAAACTGTAGAGCACTTGGTAATACTGAGTTTTGAGCATAAGCATATCTGTGGCCTTCATTGTAGCAAAGCTAATGCTTTGCTGCTGTTGATTTTTCGGTTTACTCTATTTAAGATTACTTTGGAAACAGGTGTCTAAACATTAAGTGGTATTCATCTGTCTCTAAACCTAAATCTTCAATATCTTTCTCATTTTGCCCTACCAAATGCACCTGGTCTTGGTTGAGAAGGAGGAAGAGGCTATTCACTGTAAGGCTGTTATTTGCAGCCACTGCAAGAAATTGTGGTCTCTGATATATCTCTGCCATGTGCAGTGGAGAACTTCATCTGCTCACAGATCACAGCATCCTGGGAAGTTTCTTCTTTGAAGGGTCCAAATCTGAAATCATTCTTGTATACTAATTTTCCCTCAGGATGACTTTAAATAGGATTGAAGTGGCATGCGCAGAGTGGTAAAAGCACACAGGTAAGCAACTTGGGCAAGCACTTGTGGAAGGGGCAAGTGGAGGAAATTCAGATAATTGGATGGAGATGAGAAAATGAACAAGGAGGACAGTAGCTCTGGGTGCAAACAATGTCTTTTTACTAATGAAAAAAGTCTGGATAAAAACCAAGGGGAACTTGATACCTTAATTAATCCAATATCTCTAAGAAAAAGAGGAAGGAGAGCAGTAGAGTAAAAATAGTTGGGTTTGGCAAAGAAAGCTTTAGTAAGTTTGGAGACCTGGGAGATAAGAACTCATCGGATGTTAATACAAAGGAGAAGGACATAAACAGAGCTGATGGTCCATCCAACAAATGATGAGAGTACAAGCACTAATTATCTACACTACAGTAATTCAGTAAAAGAGTATCTTAGCTAAGTCACAAGCAAGCTTTTCACTGAGACAAGAAGGAAGCCTCCAAAAACATAACGAAGGTCAGGTAATCAAGGAGGGGCACAGAAGAACAAAGCAACATTGGAAAAGTCATGGCAGAGAATGAGAAGCACTTGGGAAGATACATCAAGTGTAAGTGTACTAATTATGAAACTAAGAAAATATCAGTTCACTAGTCAGTGGAAAGAGAGAAAGCTATCAATAGATTACTAGCAGTAAATTACATTTACCACATAAACCAGAGAAAAAAGGCAGACTCAATTCAAGAAGATATACAGGGGACATACGATAACCTTTGTGTTCTGCTAAGGACTGGTAAGTGTATCTAGGTCTTGCCCAATGTTTTACACTGTTCTTCAGGAAAGAAGGGGGACCATGGCTGGAGTTTCTCTAAGTTGGAAAGAAGCCAACAAATATCATGAACACGATAAGAAGGCCATAAAGGAAAATTTTATATTCTTGTGGTTGTTTCACTTAAAGAAAAGCAATGAGAAGAAAGCACATAATAAAAATATGTAAGGACATAAAAGAAAAATGAAATAATCTGGGTGGTGGGGTTTTTTTATGTTTCTGTTAGGTATGGGGAGAAATAATGGACTAAAAGTAAAGTAAGGAAAGTTGATTACATAGTTTGAAAAACTGCCTGTCTGTGAAAACAGTAATACTGGACCTGGTTTCTGTGGAAGCTTGTAGAGATTGAATCACTGGCAGCCCTGAGAACTAGCCTACTCTTGACACTTGCCAGGATAATGTAGCTGAAATTACCTTCTAACCTATCAGTATATGTAGTCATGTAGACAAGTTCACTTACGTCAGGTCCATAAATGTATACTGAAAGGACTTGGGAAATATGTACGTGCTGCTGTCCTCAATGTAGGTGGGGACCACTGCTTGGGGACAGGAAGGAAACGGGCCACAGCAAGCTCAGGTGCTTTCCCTGAGCAGCTTTTCTTCTTGATGCTGCCAGAGACAGAACACTGGTCTTAGGTAGTATGGCACTTCTTATGTGGTCTCCACTGATACACCAGATAGGTTCTTGATCTGCTTTCTGCCACAGCCTTGTTTCTGTAATAGCTCTTGGTTATAAATAAATACGTGGTGTATAGGAAGAGATATGCGCCCGTCCCCATCCATTTGGATGCTGTAGCAATAACAATATATTAAATAAATACATTAAATATATTGTATTGTATTTAATGTGAATAAAATAATTAAATGTA